GAAACGTGTAACAGGTATAGGTTACTTGAATAGTTGCTGATTGGGTTCTTTTATTTTGGAACATGTGAAGTGACTTAATCTGCTGAATGTTTCTCTGGAGTTTCATCATAAACCTCCACTCACTGTTTGTGTTTGCACCGTGAACAAGACAGTTTGAAGCTCTGTGATTAAAAGAAACGCAGCTCTGGAGCTTTATTTGACTGAAGAATCACACATTTACTATCATGCTTGTTCATCTCACATCTTTATGTTTCGTGTCTTTATCTAAGCCTCAAAGTTCTGACTCTCGCAGGACTTTGGAACATTGGATTTCCAAAATAATTATTATCATTCTCTGAAAGATAATTTGCTTAAAATACAAATATAAATGATTTTAATAAATTGTATTGGATATACAAAAACATCAGTGTGATCTTTAATTTGTGTCAGACAGTTTGATTGATTTGACACTTTGCGTAATTAAGTTCTGTACCAGTAGCCGAGTTTATGTGTAAAGTTTTAGTCAATTAACCGTCCCACACAGGAAGTCTGTTTTAATTAGTCCCATGTAAACTGAATTCAGATTGACGTTCACTTGCTGTGTAACTGAGAAGAAGAACTTTCTCCAACTCTTGGAAAAAGCTCCTCGACACACGTGGACAGCAGATCTGACATGTTGAACTTCTGAACTGAGCGCAGTCGTCACCCCCTTCTCTCGTATCTGTACCGCTCATTGATTCACTTCCCCACCTCTAACCCTGAAGTGGCTCGGCGGGTCATCTCACTAATGAGCCATGTGCTCCCCTCTGGCTCCCACTAATCAGGGATGCAAGGCCGTCCCATCCTCGGCCGGCCGCCGCACAACACGCTGAACCCGAAGTGGTTCTCTCGCTGCCATCTGGCCTCCATGCCTGGCCCTGTCTCCACTCTGCCGGCGATTTATGCCCTCCTGAGGTGTTTCGCCTTTTAACTCGCACATAATTGGCCCCCAGATGCAAAAAAGATGTGGAGGCCAGTTTTTATTAGTTGCCAAGCAGAGGTCATTGTTTTTGCATCGCTCGGGCTCCGCAGCTCTGCCAAGGTTAAAAAGACTCGCTCTGTGTCACGGTGCACTCAGACCAATTACTGACAAAAACAAGGAGTCGGGGCTAAGTTGTACAACTGAAAAAACGTTCATGACGAGCAACAGACCTGAGGGAGGCAGCGTGTGATGTTCTGACAGTGAAACCATAAAAACAAACCACACAGACTCTGTTTGACCTGAGGTAGCTTCAGTCCTGTCTCCTGTCCTCAGTCCTCAGCTTCACCTCCATCACTGTCTCACTGGGATACGTCCGCTGCCGGAGATATTCAGAAAAGAACACGACATGACGGGAATAACAAAGTTTACGGCTTTCTGGGTAACGAGAGAAGTCTGATTAACGGTCTAACTTATTATTTTAATCATCTACTCTTTAGTCTCTTTATCGGATTTAATTCTGGTTAAATACATAGACCCAGAATTTAAATAATAAAACTCCATGAACCTAAAACTTTGTTCACTCAAACTTGTGCCTAACCGTAAAAGTATCGAACAAACTGTGTAAACTGTAAAGTTTATTTGAACATGTTCATAAAAACTTCAGCAGTAAAAATATCTGAAACAGAACGAGAAGGATTTTTTTTCTCATTAAATGTTGAAATCTCAGTATTTTTTTTATATTCAGGCGAAATCTGCGGCTTCACTTCACGGGTCCTCTGGGGTCCTCGACGTGGCAGGAATAAACAAAGATGGCGGCGCAGCTCCGAGCCTCCTGGAGCTTGTTTGGATAATGGAAGCGTTAGAATGACGACTTTCCCCGGTGAGTAGTCGGGACCGTCCCGAGTGGAGGACCGCTGCCGCCCTGCTCTGGCTGTTCTCGGTGTAAAGAAGTGAAATGAGCGGCTGGGCCGGTTTTTCTGACGAGGAGCTGCGGAGGATGCAGCTGAACGGTAACGACACTTGTTGCTAATGTTGTCGGGCATTTCCGCATCTGACCCCGGCTGTAATCAAACACGTGTCCTGTGTTTAATCTATGCATGTTAACTGGACCGCGTGTGTTTCCAGACTCGGCCGGGTCCGCAGGGGCAGCCCGCGGGCGGAAGCCGGCTCCAGCCAACCGGACCCGGCAGCAGTTACTGCGGGAGAGAGCCCTTCAGCTCGCCGCTCAGAAAGCCACAGGAGCCGGGAGCTCCGGCCTGCCCCCGGAGCAGCAACTCACCAAGCCGCCGCCGAAAGAACAGCCACCGGCCGTGGCTCCAGCCGGAGCTCCGGCTCCAGCAGGAGCTCCGGCTGGAGCTCCGGCTGTCAGACAAGAAGCTCAGCCGAAGTCCAGCGAGGTGAAGCAGATTGAAAACCATCAGCCGACCGCAGAGGAGCAAACCCCGGCTGTGAAAGAGCTGGAGAAACAAGAGGTGGAACTGTTAGTATGGTTCTGTTCTCATAAAGTTCTGTTCTCATAAAGTTCTGTTCTCACAAAGTTCTGTTCTCACAAAGTTCTGTTCTCATATAGTTCTGTTCTCACAAAGTTCTGTTCTCACACGGTCCTGGTGGTTGAGTCTGTATCCACATAAACATCTTTCACCATAGATTCTAGCTGCATGTTAAACTTTTCCTGTGTAAAGATATTTTTTCATCTCTCTGAATAAGTTTTTCTTTGTGTCTGATCAGACGAGAGAAGTCGCGTCTGGAGCAGCTGCAGCAAGAACAGAAAGTCATGGAAGAGGGGAATAAACGCAAGAAAGCTCTGCTGGCAAAAACTATAGCTGAGAAGTAAGTGCAGATGTCTCACGATCATGTGCAACACGATAAGATGGTCAAAACTGTGGGGAAGGAAAATGGACTCAGGCAAAGAAATGAAACGTGTGTGTTTGTCCACAGGTCCAAACAGACTCAGGCAGAAGCTGTGAAGCTGAAGAGGATCCAGAAGGAGCTCCAGGCCCTTGACGACATGGTGTCCAATGATATCGGCATCCTGAGAGAAAAGATAGAACAGGCCAGCTGGAGCTACACCGCCGCCAGGTACAACACAGCAGAAACATTTCAAAATGGACAGATATTCACGATGATGTGGAAAAAATAAACCTTTTTCTGAGGAAACATCGTAAACGCTGAGTCAGTAACTTCCAGTCGCACAAATCCCGAACACCTGCTTCTCTGGCTGCGAGCCCGAGCACATCTGACCGACCTTTCCCTCAGCAGACATGTTGACTTGTCACAGCTGTTATTGGTAACAGTAGCGACGTCTCCGTTTGATTTAAGTGTCGCTGTGACACGGAGACATCTTGGACGGCCGGCCTGGCACACAGCAGACATTTTGGCGCATTAACAGCAGGAATAAAAACACTTCATTCCTTTTCGCTGATTCCACCAAACACTGGCGACGTTTACATCGACGCCAATAATCTGACTTTCATTCTGAATGAGACGTCACCGTGATTATTCTGTTTACATGAGTTGCTAATAGAATATTCCTGTTTGTATGTCACAGGGCAGAGTTTAATGTTAAACTGTGACTAAGACGAATACATGTCTATATAATGTGACTGTCTTAATTTTGGATGTTTAATTTTTTTTATTGAGGTCAGAACATACATCTGATCAGAATATTATCTTAACCTAGTTAATATCAGAATATGTAAACGTGTGAGACCATTGTCAGTGAGGTTTGTCTTCTGCTGTGACGAGTTGTCGTCAGGGAAACGTGTGTGTCAACGAAACAATCAACAAAAGCACCAGTCTTCCTCCTGTGTTCTCCCAGAGGAGCTTTTACTCTGTGTTCAGGTAATTCACACTCCACTTACTGTGAACGCCCATTTGAAACTCTGAGAACACTGCCCCCTGCAGCTGCTTTCCAGTAACATCACTCTGGTGATGCACGTCAGTCCTTCTGCTCCTCCGCTCCAGCTCCCAGAGATTCATGAATACAACAATAAAATCCTGAATAACGTGTCAGATATAAAATAAAAGTGGTGTTTATAAAGACTGTTAAGAGTTTTATAATGAAGCACGTCTGCTCACAGAAATCCAGTAAATCTGCAGTTGACCTTGTGCAGCCTGTTGTGTCGTCATGCACACTCATCGTTACAGATGTTTGTGTAACGGGAGGTGGACCTGACCTTCACACGCTCATTACACTGGACTCTGTTATGGTTGTGTTGATTTAATCAGCGACTGAGGTTTGACCATGAGACCCTGACGGGAAAATTCATCTTTTGAAAGTGATTGACGTTATGTGGTTTGTTACCGCAGCGTTTCCAAGCAGCGCAAGTTGTTCTGTGTTCTGTTCCTCACAATTAAAACAATGTTTCTGTGTTCCGACGCTGTGGGAGGAGTCCACTCTGTCCTCACCACGGCCGGGACCGATTCAGACCGAGTGCCAATACATCATATTTAAATTTTTGAGTAATGTAAATACGTTTCTCTTTTATTTAAGAAAAGAAGCCAAAGTTTTTTTTTTGATCAAACGTCGATAAACATGATTCTGTTCAGACTTTTACTGCCAACATGTGGAGCTGCACACACACACACACACACACACACACACACACACACACACACACACACTTCACTCAGTCAGCAACAATCATTAACGTTGGAAACAGTCGCTGCCTCTGTCAACTTTATTTTAAACGAATGGTTCAGAAAATATTGATGAATTTGTTCAAATAAAAAATGATAAAGAATAAAGCAAATCAGAAAAATCTTCAAAGAACATTTTGACACATTTTTCACTTCATTAATCATGAAACTATTTATTGACCATTAAAGTTGTTAAGATGAATGTTTTTCTCTGACCTGATCTATCACTGATCTCCTCAATGCTTCAGTCATGTAGAAACACTTCCCACTTTAAAATAAGTCATTTTACTTGAATTTATAAATTGTTGAGAGTCACTGCTCTAAATCAAATGAAACACTCTGTTACTCAATAGCAGGTTTTTTACACAAGAAAGTAAAAGTGAGATTAATGCACAAATCAAATATAATAAAATATAATGTGACAAGATGTTTTTATTTCCTCACGTTTGTGACAGGAAACGCTACGAGAAGGCAGAGGCCGAGTACGTGACGGCCAAGCTGGACCTGCACAAGAAGACGGAGGTGAAGGAGCAGATGACGGAGCACCTCTGTGCCATCATCCAGCAGAACGAGCTGCGTAAAGCCCACAAGCTGGAGGAGCTGATGCAGCAGCTTCATCTCCAGGCTACCGAGGAGGAGCTGGAGAGGCAGAAAGAGGAGGAAGAGGAGGAGGAGGAGAAGAAGACGAGGAGAAGCTGTGCGGAGATGCAGAGAAACGGGAAGGAGGGTAATGGTTTAGTGGCGAAGCAGGAAGGAGCAGTGCAATCACCCGAAGACTCTAAACCGACAGAGGAGGAGAGTGTGAAGGAGGAGAGAGGAGGTGACGTCCAGGGAGAGTCCAAAACAATGAGTGAACCACCAGAGACCAAACAGGACTGTGACACATTAGAGAACGGCGTCCAGAGCGAGCCGGTGGTGTCCTGATGGTCACAGAGCAGTTTGTCACCTCCTCTGTACAACATCTGGACACGATCACATATTCTCCACCGTGGGATCAAAATGAAACTGAGTTTGTCAGTGAGAGTCACAGCGTGATGCAGGTCTGCTGAACAGTTTGTCTCGGTCTGGCATCGAACCTTTAAGACTTCTGGTCCTGACCGAAGTGACTTCATCCAAATCTGTTCACTACAAACAGATCGGCTGCCATCAGGGTCTGGCACCGTGCTGCTCTGGTGCAGGAAAGATGGAGGTGCAGTCTATCACCTCATCTGTCACATGGTCACAATTAAACCAAGATGAGCGCTTTTGTCTTCATCTAAACCGAGAACAGAGACACGAAGACGTCAATCAAACTTCAGCTGCTGGAAAAACGTTGTGTAGGAAAACTAATGAAATGTGTTTTCAGCAAGAATTTTCCACGCGAGTGTCGTATAACAACATTTAAATATGAGAAAGTCTTCCAACAGTAATGTGTTCTGGATCAGGTTCAGCAGTTTTTACTGTTGTAGCTGAACGTAGTTACCGTACCTGCACCACGGTCTCCACAGCCGGCGCACCATCCTGGAACTGTTGTGTTTTGCGTTGAAGGTTTAAAGGTTTGACCACTGAGACACTTTGTGATGAAGAAACTCTGAAGTTCATACAAACATGAACGTTCTGCCCATGAGGTGAAGGAGACACTGGCTCCTGCATCCACACCGAACGAGCCCGTTTGTTCAAGACGCCGAAAACTCTTTGATTCTGGGCTGGAAAAAAAAAAAAAGAATTATCCATGTAACTTTAAAAATAATTCTAATTGCATTTACTCATGATTCTTTGGAGGCGGGGTTTGTCCGATGTCTATTTTCAGATTTTTAATCAATTGATTGAATTTATTTGATGCAGAAAAACACGGAGATGATGAAAAACAATGAGAACACTTCAACAGAAACATCAGTTAGAGGCGAGTTCACAAATCTGAATCGTAAACATCTTTAGATCACTCCAGGCTGCTTGTATTTATTTCATATCTGGGGACATTGATTTCTCTTGTCAAATTTTTATTTTATCTTGTGTTAATGAATATATATAAATATATATATATAAGATAAAGATCTCAGCACCAGAATGAAGAACTCAGTCACGTTCAGATGCAGAACATACGTAAACGAATCTCTCTGCAGATGATTGTCTCTGTGGTGAGGAGGAATCACGGCTCCTGTTCACTTCCTGTAGGTGAGCGTGAGTCCGCGTTCTGACCCCTCGAGTGTCGTCGACGAGCAGCTGACGCTCCGTCTGTTTCACGGAGCTCAGTGTCGTCCTGTCGCTGCAGCAGCGGAGCCTCTGAGTGGTAAGACGATATCTGTTCATATTTGTACTCAGCTGCACACGAACAGTCTCTGTCGCTGCACATGGAACAAAACACAATAATCAAGTTTGTGGCTCTTAGCTTGAACGTTCAAAAGTTAATGGGGCAAAGAAAAGTTATTTAAACTGGAAATATTTAAAAGGTGAGAGGGTTTAGAATCGACACTACTGTTTGATATTTTACTAAAATAAACTCTAAAAGAACTTGGTTTCCCTTCTGTGTGTTTTGTTTTCTTTTTATTTCCATTTCAGTTTTGAGATGATTGACCTGCGGGACCGAAGTTTTCTGCTGCTGGAAAGAATTCAGACGGTGGGAGCACTTTGTGACTCCCCTCGCTGTTTCAAGTCCTCTCTCTTTTTTTAAAGTGCAGTAAGTGTTTCTGTAAACCGCTCTGAGATTTTACAGCGCTCCGGTCACATCTGGCCAGCTGAAGGAGACGCCGTAAAAACAGCTCTTTTAATTAGTCGGGAGGCAGAAGCTCGGAGAGGGAGAGCGACCACCATCTCGTCTGCCCCGGGGTCAACGTTTGAAGTCCAGCGTTTCACCAGACTACAGATACATTCAGCCACACACAATTACACCTCTGCTGAGTACTTATACTCAGCTTCACTTACAATGTGAGTATTTACTTTAAATTTTAATATTGTATTTTAACTTCACTACATTTGTTTGAGAATTAAAGTCACTTTGCAGATTAAAATATGAAGTGATGCAAATTCAAACATCTGAATTAAGTGTTTAGTTTCTAATTTAGTCTTAAATCTGCCTCCCTTCAATCACTCACTTTATAAAAAAATAATAACATTTATAATAAAATACTTTTTACAAGTTTGACTTTTTGATTAGTTAAAAACAAACAAGTTGAATCTTTGTTTTCCACTTAACAAAAATATGTTTTCAGTTTCTTACATTATCTTGAGTTTATAAAGTCTTTCAGATGAACTTCAACAATGAAATGGAGATAAATAACTAAATAAGTATAACATCTAAATATGTATAACATCTAAATATGTATAACATCTAAATATGTATAACAACTATATGACAGTATGAGAGTGAGCATTTCAAACAGTTGTTTTAAAAGTCTCCATAGATAAAGTCCCACTTTTCTATTGATATAATTCAACGGATTTGTTTTTTAATTTAAGTTAATTTTTAAAAATTCTCATCAGATTAAAATGGAAGAAGAACAACGATTGTCACCATGTTTGTGTGTGTGTGTGTGTGTGTTAGAAAAGAAACGTGCCCCGGATCATGACAAAGAAAAATGAGAAGGTGCAGGCTGTGGAGATTAAGGCATCCAACGGATTTTCAGGCTGCAGGGATCTCTACACTGGAAATAACATTTCCATCGGTAAGTGTGTGTCTGTGTGTGTGAGTGTGTGTGTGAGTGTGTGTGTGTGCTGGGCCAGACTTCAGAGAGTGGACGGTTTATAAAGTAAAGTGTGATTTATGTGGCGCTGTCGTCCCTCGACAGGTCGAGAAAGACCCTGAAACTTGAGAAGTCCGAGATTCAAAGAGAAAAAAATCAGGTTTTACTGAAAGTCGTCCATCTGGAGGTTTCACGTCCAGATCAGCTGAACTCTGCTTCATCACAGCAACACAAACCCCTCAGTCTGATCGAAGCTCATCCTGCAGAAATATATTCAATATATCATCTATGTTTCTCTGTCCCCAGATTAATTCAACTGCAGGATAATAATATAATTTAGATTTAATCTGGTTATAAAACGTTAGTACGATTTAAAGTAATTCAATTCCCCACATGAAGCCAGAGTCAGAGTCACACTGATCAATGAAAGGAAGCTCATCACATTTGGCTGCTTGAATAACTGAGAAAGTAAAATTCAGTTTAAATATAGAAGCTCATTTCTGACACTGAAAGAAAAAAACAAAATCACGAGATGAAAAGACAGAATTCAGAAATCGGTCAAAACGTGTGAACTTTTTATTTCCTTTGCTGAACGACGTTGTTTTATTAATTTATTATTTGAGCTTGGTTTTCATCTTCTTCTGTCACTGGTGGATTTGTGCTTCCAACTTCAAGGGGGAAATAAATTATACAAACTAAAGTTTAAAAAAAGTTAGAAAAGCTCAATGAAAAATATAAAGTTTGACTTCAGGACATCAAGTGAAAACTAAGTCTGACTTTAAATGTAAAGTGTGAACCAGACGGTGACAGAGGAGCAGGCCTGCGCTGACGTCTCCACGGCCCCTGGTTGCGGTGCTGTAATAATGAGAATTAATTTCACACAGTCCTTGTGCTCTGTATAATAAAGTCTGCGTGTTGTTGTAATCAGCAGCAGATTGTGGAACACCACCACAGAACGTTTACAGTCACAACGGTGCAGCAACAACAGACACAACAGCAGCGCAACACACAACCGGTCGTAAAACATAAAGATGCTTCATATAACCTACATTTAGTCACAGTGGAGCACAATTACTGGTGTTAACACGGATACACAACGTTTGACAGCTGGAGACACGATGTATAAAATATACACATAACCACGCTGTCGTCTTCCTGTGAAAATCTCTCCTTCAATTCAGATTCAGAAACTGAAAGTAATCACTACTTCATCACTGAAAAACACATTTTAATGTAAAACTTTCAAATCACAACAGATTTCAATCTTACAGCTACAAAAGAAAAAAAACATTACAAATTAAAGTCTATTTAAAAAACATTTTCCTGAATATATTTCAAATGAGATGTATTTAAATGTAATCGCATATTTCAACAAACTTGTAAAGTGACGACAGTAAAACTAAAACCAGTTCAACATCAACACACGTGATGTAAAGGGAAAAATCAGATGAGGTGTAAATTGTTTTCACAATGAATCTTTATTATCAGGTTCAACGTAGAGAAACACTTTGAGTCGTGTGTTGAAGAAAGATGAAGAACCTGCAGCCTCATCGTTCAGACGCTGCAGGTCCAACATTCCCACTGATCCGGCTCCGGTGCTGAGAGTCTGCAGCTCGGCCCGGCGCAGCAGTCGGCAGACCCACAGGCAGAGAAACCCCCGGTGCAGCAATCAGTCAGAGCTCTGGTGGGGGAGGGGGGGGGGCGTGTGTCTGTAACATATGTTTCCCTGCACAGGATGTAAAGAGTCAACAAGGAGGCCGTTTACCTCCAATTAGGGAAATAAAACAGGACAGGGGCCAAAACGTTACTCCAATCAGCACCAGGGGTCACTGGACAGCGGCGGCCGTGATGGCGGCGGCGGCCCCGGACCATCATCATCATCATCATCATCATCATCGTCGTCGTCGTTTGCAGCCCGGGGGCCATTTCTGCACAAAGAGCCTGAGTCAACACAGAATCAACAGGGAGAGAAAACACATTAGCACACGAGAGGAAGCGATTTATTGAAACGTGTCAGATCCATCGTGACAACACGTCACTGCGAAACCAAATGTCCTGAATTCCAAACTCAGTATTAACGTGTTGTGTTATTCAGATTTATCACAGGAGGAGTTTCACCGATGCTCTCACATTCAAATGTCATTTACAAGCTGTGGCTGGTTCTAATTCAGTTTAATCTACAACTAGAATATAAAAGAAAATCAAACATAAAAGAAAACAGGAAGACGTTCTGCGTCTGTCATAAAACATTGTGAGAGAAAGAACAAAAACATCCTGGATCTGCCTCGTTAATCTCCTTCCCTCCAGAATCATCTCAGCACCAAGCTGGGTAAAAAAATCAATGAGTAGTTTTATGATCAGAAACAAACCAAACAAACAGAGCTGAGAGAAAAGTGGAGAAACGAAGCATCGACAGTTTCTATCTATAAAATAATAACTAGGTACCTGTCGCACAAACAGAAGCTAAAGACCACCAATGAACAACATACGTGGGATAAACTTTTAATTCATATTAATCCAAACTCAACGAGACAAGCAAGCTGTTTTCAGACATGAACTGAAGTTCTGACGTGTTCCTGACGTGTTCCTGACGTGTTCCTGACGTGTTCCTGACGTGTTGAGTCAGTGTCTCTGGACTTTTTCTGGAACTTTTCCTGCAGCCTCCTGGTAAAACTCTGGAGAACGTCGGTCCATGAAGAAGCCAAATGTCTCAGGATGAAGAAGAGGAGCCGTACACGTAGAAGACGAAGACGTCCACTCGGAGACGAGGAGGTTCCAGAGCTTTTGGGGATGAGGGCCGTCGCTCTCGGTTCAAGCAAAGTTTTGAGAAAACACTGAACCTCCACGTGTGATAAGATCCTGTCACCTGTCTCCTGGAGGGTTGGCAGGTTGTCATGGGTTCACATCCCTTCAGACCGGCCCTCATCATCACTGCTCCGTCTCTCAGTCCTGACGGAGTCATCGTCTCTGAAGTCTGACGATCAGGTTCCTCCTCAGACCCGTTAGTGAATCTCTGCATTCATTTACGATCCCTCCTGTTTGTGGCTCGTGCACTTTCAAAGTGAATCAGATTTATGTGGTGCAGGAAGTGGAAGCTGAGCCCAGAAGCTGCCTCACCGGCGACTGTAACGCCGACATGTGGGGACGTTAATAAACTGTTGGTTTGGATTAAAGCATCAGATACAAACAGTTTGTGGAACAGATAGAAAATAGAAATCTGCCTCTGGAGACTGACGAGATCGCAGCGGAACAGGAAGTGACACGATGAGGTTTCCTCCCACTGCTCAACATGTCGTTAATTATCAAATCATCTTGAGAAGCAGGCCTCGCAGCGACGTGTTGATTTGTCCGTGGTGTGTGAAGTAGCTTTATTTTGAAAAGATGGAACTATAGTTTGAATTTGATGATTTGTTTTTTTTGGCAGTTTGCAGGAAACGTGAGCCGATGAAGAATCTAAGTTTGTTTGTTCTAACACAACTTATCTAATAATCTAGTTCAGGCTGAACCTGAAACTCATTTCAAAGATGATTTTTGTTTGTCAGGAGGATTTCACACAAAACCACTGAACAGATTCCAGTAAACGAGGCGGAGGATGGAACATGAGTCAGGAAATAACTTTTTCATGAATCTGAGGAAAGAGGTCAGATCCAGGATTCTTTTCTTTCTTTCTGTAACATTGAAAGATAGAACTTTTATTATTTTACATTTTCACCATATTTCAGAAGATAATTCATGAATCGTGGTCAAAAGGAAATGAGACATTTAAGGGACTTTATCTGTGAGTGTGTGTGAGTTGGTTTAGTTCAAACTAGATCTAGTGAATCTAGA